TTCTTCTTATGGCTAATTGCTGTACAAGATGCGGACTTGATATCCTATTTGCAAACACCATTAGAACAAATCATTCTATTCATAAAGAGAATGTAACTATATATCTATCCTAACCACTTTGAATACACAGATACAAAATGGACATTCATCTGTATACCCTTTTTTGTTAAGTTCCGTTATTTGAATATTATAGGTGTGTAAACTCAGCAAAATATTCTAAAAGTGTCCAGTAGCCCATCATAGTATTTGGTCTTCCGCTGAACTGGCAGTGTCAGATATTGTTAACCTGAGTCCCCCATACCTCAACATAACAGCATGGCTTTATTTCTTATATTTCATTTTTATACTTTTCGTCTGGATCGTTAAGATCAAGGTAAAGCAGGACCTATACAACAAGAGTTGTACCTTTTGGGTCTGATGAGGTCAGTGAAATCCCCTCAGGATTTATCCTGAGATCCTGTACCTCAGATTGTAGAACCTTTGTCAGTGTCAGCCATGTTGATGAGTCACGGCTATTGCTTGGCCAATGTGCTCTCTGTGAAAGGCTGAAAGAATGTTTTCTCTCCTTGTGACTCTCCTTAGGCACACTCTACATCATTGATCACTTTCCTCTTTGGCCCCATAATCTCCTTGATCAGAAAATTTGGGGCACAACCAAGTTACATGACGTTACAGTACAAGTCCCATATTTCCTGAGTTTTAATTGACCTTGGAAGGCTAGGGCCAAAATGTTGGCTTTCCTTGCAGCTCTCCTTTTTCTCTAATTTTGGTCTGCAAACTTAGGTTGTTAACCATCCGGAAGACAAGCTTGTTATTATCGAACAACTTAGGCTGTTAAGCTTAACCTCACTATCTCTCTGCATATCAAACATCTTAGGCATAACATGGAACAGGTTTTTTTCATCAAGTATTGATACATTGTTCATCTTTGTATCATCTTGCAGGTGATGGATTATTTTTTCCTGCATCCTAGTTGTTTTTAAGAGATCCTTTCTTAGCTTTTCATTAGCTGCACCAGCATCTTCAAGATTTGAAACTCTGTCTTCACTTTCACTTAAACGGTTTTGCAAGCTTGTGACTGAGATTTTAAATTCCTCTTTATCTCTTTGACCCTGCTTCATGCGCTCTATTTCTTTCTTGTATTGTTCATTCAATGAATCCATCATTTTTCTAATCTCCTCTATTTTTTTCTTATTAATGTCTTCTTTAAAAGCAGTTATTAATTCTTTCACTGCAGTGTTTTTTTTCAAATTGTATTTCCTCCCTATGTTTCTGTAGTTGATTCTTTCCTTCAGATGCTATGAGTTCCGAGAATTCTTTTCCTATTTCAGAAAATTCTGCTCCGAGTTCCTCTATAACTTTCTGCTGTTGCTTCTTTACTATTGATGCTATTAATTCATACATTTGAGCTGAGCTAGTAGAAAAGAATTCTTCTCTGAGTTTCTCTATGACTTTTTGCTGTTGCTTATTTACTATCGACGCTATTAATTTATACATTTCAGCTGAGATAGTGTCCTCTGCATTTGTTCTGTGTGGTTATTGAGTATCCTTGACATGTTTCTGCCTTTGATTCTTTACTGTAGATGTTATTACTTCAGGGATTTCTTTTTTCATTTCCAATCCGAGTTCCTCTATACCTTTCTGCAACTCTTTCTTTATTTCAGAAACCATTGATTCATTGATTTCAGCTGAGTGATTCCCAATTTGTTCTGTGTTAGTGTCCTCTGTGCTTGTTATTGGTAGGCTTGGGTTCTGAGATTGCATTTTACTCCTTCTTGTTGTCATTTTGTGTAGCACTGTCTTCTGAAATTTGTTGTAGAGCTTTGGTGTAGTTATAACCTTAGCACCTACTGAAGGTGCAGATCTACAAAATTTAGATTTATCCAGTTGTGCCTGGCTTGGTTCTGGCTGCTGTGCTCAGCTCCTTCCTGCTGCTGCCCTTGGGGGTGAACCTGTTGTGCACCTCTGGCAAGATGTTCTCCTCCTGGAATAGCTGGGTGATTCTGTCCCCTACACTTTCTGCAGGGATTACAACTGCAGTGTTTCACCTCAGGCCTGTATACCAGACATCAGCTGAGTCTGGAGGGGACAAGGTGGAGTAGAGGGGAGAGGCAGCTCTCCCACACACTCACTGGGACTGGGCTAGGACTGGATCTGGGGGTTCCTGGCATGTGGCAGAAATTCCTACTCAGCGGGCGGCGTGGAGGAGGTGCTGCAAAGTGGTGGAGCACATCCCAAGTGGGTGGAAGAGGGTCTCACCCACTCTGTGAGTGGGCTGGGACCGGCACTTCCCACCAGCACAGTGTATCCAGAAGCTTTCCCACACAGTCTCCAGGCCTGGGCTAGCACTGGATCTATACCATCCATTTTTAATCAGTTAGTCTTGTTTGAATATTTGCAACAAATATATTGCTGTATGTTACCCTGTTTCTATCTTTGTTTCTGATTTTCTTGCTTTTGGCTTTACTCTCCAAGATAAAATAGAATTATATTAAGGAAGAAGGCTGCTCACCAGGAAGACTCTCACATAAAAGTGGAAGAAATAGCCAATTCCAACAAATCTCAGTAAAGAAACACAAAACAATATGAAAAAACAAGGCAATATGGCTCCTCAAAATGTTTATAACTCTTCAGAAACAAAACCCAAAGGAATAAAAGTGGATGAAATACCAGATAAATAATTCAAAACTTTGGAAAACTGGTGTAGAAGATAGGAAAAGAGAGAAGAAAAAAATGAAAGGAAGAAAATGACAGAACAACAACCATAAGAAACTAGAAATCATGTTCACAATCATATAAAAACAATATGAAACAATAAAGAAAAAAATTAAAAAATAATTAAACAAAGAGAAAAAATTGTCCATTTCCAAGTTTGTCTCTGCTGTCCCTGGTAGATAATGTGTGGAAGTAGAGCCCAGATCCATGTTGATGTATCCCAGTAGGCTAGCAGTAGCTTTGTGGCAGGGTAGTGGAAGTTGAAATTCAAATTGTTTTCTGGCTGTGATGCTGGGACCAGACTTTTCAGCCTATAGTGACAAGTGCACCTTCTTTGGTCTTGGATCCCTCTGGGATCCACTAGATGGACCCAGCAGTTGTTCTGAATTCTGAGCTCAATTGAATCCTCTCAAAGATGGTTCCTGCCAATCATCCTTTCCTGTGGAACATTGTGTCCTGCAGTGCTCACAAGCAGCTAGTGCAGTACTCCTGATCTACTGTTTCCTTCTCTACTGTGTTTCTCTGTAGAAGTCTCAGGTATTCCCAGCAGTTCCTGAGTGTCTGCAGGTTTGAACTGCTCCTCCCATGCAGTGAGTTCTGACTCAGGGAGAAGGCTCAACAGGCTAACTTCATCTTCACTGAAGTTTCTCTCTTCACTCCTCCCCCCATAGACTTCAATTCTGACTTCAGATCCTTCCTGAGTACAGAGGACTCACTTCCCTCCTTCTTTTCTTCCTCACATTGCTATATGCCATTGTCTGTTGGAAACTCTCAGAGAGGTTCTTTCTCTGCTGCTTACCATTCTGCCATCTTCCTAGAAGTTGGATTACCAGATCGTACAGGAAGTTTGAGAAAAAACAGAAGTCAAACAAAATGCAATACAACATTCATGGATGAAGAAATTATTTGCTGAATTGAGGAGTATGTGAGCAACGGGCTGGAGAAATCTGGAGCTCAGACATAGGTTGTTCCATAGCTTTTGTTGAATTGGATCTTCTTGGCAGAACTATGATGCCCCATTTAATAGATAGGCTGACTGGAGCTCAGAGAAATAATGTACCACTCAGAGTAATTCTAACCAAGGTATGAACTAAAGGTCTTCCAACCTGAGCTCTCCAGATCATGTAAAATTGAGGCATTATGAGAAATTCCTAGTGTCATTTTTAGCTCTGTCAATTTCAGAAAAGACAACATGTATGAGTGCTCTCTTCCTCAATGCTGGCTTTGCATAGATGAGCCATGGCTGTTGCATTATTCATTGACTGCTGTGCTGAGTTGCCTACATAGCTCTGTGGGTCTGAGACACATATGTTAGTGGACCTCATCACATGGCATAATAAGCAATGATGTTTAGAAAGCCTACAAACCATGAGGTATTAGAAAAGAATCCTCCACCCTGACTGTAATGTTTTTTACTAAACAGCTGCCTTAGGAGACATGAAGGTCCCATCTGTGCTCAGAGTTCAGGTGCAGGCCCTTAGCTAATGATTGAAGAGCTTGCTACCTTGTTTGACCCCCAGGCAGGCTCTGGGGAATGGGTAGTTAGGTGACATGAGCACAAGTCAATTGTGTGTGGTTTCACCTACTATCAAAATAGGCATTTCCTGGCCCTTTTCTCCTTGACCATGCCCTCCTGGGACTCCCACTGGGTAACTTGATCTGCCTGTGGCTCACTGTGCTTGTTCTCTCTATTGATTTCCTAGGGCAGTAAAGTTCTGATGAGACCTACAAAGGGGAAGCCCTGAGCTCAGTTTTAGGTTCTGAGCCCACCACCTACATTGTGTCTTCCTTCTGCCTCACCTCCAGTCAGTTGTATACTTTATTGGTTATATTTTATGGCCCAATGTCTCAAGCAATGGAAGAATCCAAGGAACACAGAACCGTGAGTGTAACTCAACCCCATTTTGTCATGTTCCTATCTCTCTACCTTCCTGTTTTCCCTCTTCAGCAGCTTTCCTGTTAGCCCTGGATCCAGCCTCAGTACATAATATGATGTCTAATTATTCTAGATCCCATCAGGGATCCTCTCTTTTAGGGCTTCATACCACTTTCTTTCCCCCCAACTCCTCCCAATATTATCAAGCAATAGAGGTTCTATGGCTTACAAAACTGCATTCTGAATGTTACCTAGTTTACTAAGCCAAGAGAATTGATATTAGTGAGAATTTTCATTGGGAGATGGTAGAGACCAAAGCAAAGAGGGTCTCCATTACTCTGCCTACTTTTTGCCTTTCTTTACCCACTCACTCACCCCTGATCCCATAAATATTCCAAAGATTAAAATCATGGACAACAAATTGCAGATTGTCAATGCTTGTGAGTTGGAGCAATCGCTTCTCCAAACATCAAACTTAGGGCCCTCTTCGAGTCGGATGTCAGCTATACCAAAGAATATAAGTGCCTCCAACGTGACCTCAGACCTGCGGCCTCCGCTTGGTGAGTATCATCATTCTTAGGACCTGACCTTCAAAATTTGGAAGCAGATGGGTTTGAATGTGCTCTGTTCTGAGGTCCAGGAAGAGGTGGCTTTGATATCAAGTGAGTAGAAAACAGCCTCTGCCCAAACCACTGTGATTCTCACCACCACCATTAAACCCCACCTCAACCAGGCCATACAGTAGTGACTGGGACTGCTGTGTGCAGGGAAGACCTATGGCCGAGGTGAGGTTGGATCTGAGAGACCTGCTGGGAGCCCATGCTGAAACACTACCATGTCCTCTTTTATTCAAGTGCTCTCCCAGGTGCCCACGTAGTCTTCATACCACCAGGGATTGCATGCTTCCAAGGCTGGAAATGGGTGTAGATGATGTTTAGGAGGGCACTGAGTGGAATGGGCATGGCAGCCCAGCCTAGCACCAAGAAGGAGCACTTGTGTGGCCTTGTAGTTATCAGCACAGACTTAGGAGCTGGGCAAAAGCAGGTCAGTCCTGACATCTTCACCCTGAGTGGGTTACTTCACCACTGTATCTGTATTGCTTTCCTTGTGAAGAGAAAGTACACAAGCTTGCCTTGTAAAAGAAATAAGAAATAAAAGAACTTTGTAAAAGAAATAAATCATGTTAAACATTTAGCAAAGTCTAATATGCAGGAAATGTTAAATAAATATGAACTTTTGCTATTGTAGCAGCTTCTGCTATTATTATCATCTGGAACCCTGGTAGGTAGGTGTGCATAGCCTATGAGAGAGTAGAGACTCAGGAGGAGTGGTGACTTACACAGAGAAGTAGTGCAAAAATGGAACAGCTCCATAAATTCCTGGAAGCCTAAATCAAGATATTTTATTTAGTGCTGTCTGTGAGAGTGTAAGATTCTGGATTAGACTGTGAAGGAAAATGTTCAGGGGTGCAGAGAGGTCCCAGGCTTTTCCTCATCTCAATTGGCTTAGACAGGAGATCACTTCAGCATGAGGAACCCCAGTCTCAGTAGCCTGAATCCTGCCCCTGCCCATTTGGCAATCCCCTAACCTTTCTGTCTTATTAAACTGTTCTGATAACCTTAATTCATCTAAATTCATCAAAAGAGGTGACACCTGTCCAGTTCTCTGCAACACAGCTGAATCTCAGTGATATTGAATGCATGGTGTACCCTCTGAAAAGAAAACTCAAATTGGATAAACAGAAGCTGCATCCACTTAAATACAACAAGACAGGTGAGACTTGCATTTGGCTGAGAGCCTGGGGAGGGGCTGTGGGTCAGCTAAAGAGTCCACACAGATAAGCACATACATGCAATGAGACCAAGGTGGGATACTGCAAATAATAATAATAATAATAATAATAATAATAATAATAATGATAATGATGATGATGATGATGATGATGATGATGATGCAGGAATGGGCTTGAAATGGTCTTTCAGGGACTTTGCTGTGCTGAGACTGCTCCTTCACCATTTGACAGATGGGGAAACTGAGAACCATACTGGTCCTGCAGTGTGTCTTTCCTGACAAGGACTATGTGTGACCTTATCTTGGCACTGATTAGCCCATAACCCTAATTGGCCACTGATGATCTCTAGGGCTCCAGAAGCTCCCAAAAGTGTCTGGGTTCATTTCTGTGACCCAGATACTTTCCTTTCTGATTTCTCTTATGTTGCTATTTGTTATCTAAATCACCCAGACTATAAATCTCAGCATCTGTAGACATAGCACCTCTTCATCTACAATGTCACAATCAAAGTGGCTACCTCTTCCTACAACAGCAGGCCTAGAGAAAGTAGCTCACAATCACTTAGAGTCACAACCAGGATAGGATCTACAATTCTCTATACTTGGTGAATCATTTCTTCCTCCAGCCACACTGCTTCTGCTTTCTGAAAGTCCCCCCACTCCCTTCCTCTTTATCTACTCTTTCAGGGCCTACTCACAGCACTCCTACCATCCTAAAGCCTGGTAGTGGTGATTGCTGCATTGCCCTGAAATTTTGCCTGACTTTGCCCACTTCTCTTAGGTGACAGGCACAAGTCATTCTATCTTCTTTGTCTCCTTCACTTAAACTGAATAGTCATGTTACTTGGTTTTCATTCTATTGGCTACTTCCTCCACTCTGACACAGAATTTGCACTTCTACCACCTCCTCAGAAAACAAGTTTCACAAAATTCTATATGAGTCCTTTTGTGAAGGCATAGAGATGCTTACAACCCTGTGCCCACAAAATTCCCTGTTAGGCCTCCACTAGTATCTTTTCTCTAGCTCTTCCTTCTGCATTATCCAACTATAGGAAGCCTTTCCCAGTCCTTGCTATGGTATAGGAAGTTTATATTCATAATGCCATGGAAAAGTTACTGGAATTCTAGTGAGTTAATTCCAATCTACCACTTCCAGTACAATCCGTGGTGAGAACAAAGACACTAAGGTTTATTTGTAATTATGGGGAACAAGGGGCCCTAAATCCAGCAACAATGATGGCTAACTGAAACAAAAGCTTTGAACCAGGTCCAAACCCAGGTTTTATTAATTTGTGAAGAAGGGGATGATTGGAGGGTGAGTGCCTGTGAAAATGGCAGGAAGTACATCATTGCTACGATTTGGGTTAGGTAGGATGCCTGAAATCACCTCAGCAATATGCAGGCAGAAGGTTATGCATAAAGAATAATCCACATAGCACAACTTATGTAGTATCCAGTGTTTTGGGGTGGGTGCCTCTGCTATGCTTTTATGCCTCAGGAAGTCATTGCCTCTTATCTTTTTTGTTGTTGTTGTTTTTGTTTTTTGGTACTGGGGATAGGACCCAGGACCTTGCACTTGCCAGGCAGGCACTTAGGCTGATGAGCTATATCCCTGGCTTATAGCCTCTTATCTTAAGGCTCAATCAAGCTAACAGTGTGGAGCACTCCAGCTGGCCTCATACATGTTTATGTGCAAGCTAGTGGGGAAGGGAAACACTGTCTTGTTAACTTGCTTCAAAGACTACAAATCTACACTTCAGCTGGACCAATTTGCATTGCTTAAAGCCAAATAAAGGGATAATGAAAAATCCTAGCCAATTCTAGACATCAATACATGGAATTAAGGCTAGGTTTAGCCAAAATGGAGATAGCTGTGCTTCTTTCAAGATGGGCCATCCAGGTGGTCCTCCACACCCAACTATGCAGATCATTCCCTATTTATCAACCAAAGCAATTACCCTCTCCTTCCCAGCTATGTTGCTCTGAATTCCAGTGCCTAGCAAACTTGCATCTGGCAATAAAACATGATTGTCATTATGGTCCTTAGATAGCTATGTATAACTACTCAGTGTTATTTGAAATGAGTACATCAGATTTCCCTATGTGGTTTATCAAAATCTTTCTTCATAATGATCACTGTACTCCCATGAAGAAAGTTTTAGTCAAGCTATTAATAAATCATCTGTTACACCTCACTTTAAAAATAAAACCATTAATTCAGATGTCATAGGATTCAAGAAGAGAATCAAAAGCTTCAAGTATACTTGACTAAAGAGGATTTAGATGGGTGCATGACCACAGATTGAAGAGTATGAGAAGACTTTGGAGACCATGACACCAAGAGAACCAAGTGTTACCTTAGCACTTTAAGCCAGTATAACCTAAGCGTGTGAACTATGACTGTGGCCCTGAGCAGTAATTCTAATGTTTACATTACTAGACTTATTCCCATAGTAGACAATAAAAATAGATTTCCCAATTATGGTTTCAGAATTAAGTGGTTCCTCTGTGGCCAAGGTCTCACAAGGTGAGATTTTTTTCAACACTCTGTAGTCTAGCACAATTTTGTTAAGCCTTCTTGCAATGGTAAGACAGATAGAAGCCCTGAACTCTATTTTTTTTTATTAATTTTAATGAAAAAGTAAAATAACAATGAAATAGTTTCAAAACAGGTTGGTAGGATAGTTATAATAATTAATACATTGAATATTATTGTCTTCATAGTAGTTATCCAGAGGACAAGATGCAGACATATCTTTGTCTAAATAATATTAGTACAAACCTTTCTTCACAAAGAACTAAGAGAAAGTAGCTGTATATCTATCCTATCTTGAATATACATATATATTTTTTTCACAACAAAAACAGTCTTTATTTATACTTTTGCAAAGTTAGTAACACGTGACACTAGGTTGCCTAGCTACTAACGTCACTATCCGACCTTAACCAGACAGGATGTTTATCTCAGGACTGAGGCAGCTTGTTTGCTTTAGGCAGTGAGGCCTAGCCCCACCTACACACATTTGCTCAATTTCCTAGCTTCGTGGCTCCCAACATATCCCCATTTCTGTTTTGTTTTGTCAGAGATGGGTGCTCCATTGCAATTAGAGAAGCTGTGTTTGGAGAAGCCTTTAAAGGATCTTTTCGTACTTGAAACCAATACAATGATTGCAGGTACAGTTCATTTTGAGCTCTGCGAAACAACCCAATATAGTCCAATAGTCCATAAAAGTAGTGGGTTATCAGTACAACTGAAAATTGTGAGAAGTTGTTGACTTGATCCTTTTACAGCCCAGCATATTAATACGGCATTACTTTTTATACCACATGATTATGCTTTTCTGCTGGATGGTTAAGACCAAGTTAAAGCAAGATCTGATTAAGTAAAAATGTAAGGTTTGCTATCTGATAAGGTCAGTTAAATCCCCTGAGTATTTACCCTGAAACCATGTAAAGCACCTTGTAATGGCCGTGATTCATCTAGATGGACAAAAGACCTGAACTCTATATGAACCCCTCCAGCAACCTTGAGATCAATTGGGTTTCAACTTCCCTGAGGGGCTATCTCCCTTATCTCTAAAATTTACCTAAGAAGATGTGTGAGATACATTCAAAGTATTAGAAAGGGAAAGATGAGGAGACATCATAATATCCAAGCTACAAATGAGAAAAATGAGACTCAATGGGATTAACTGGCTGATTGAGCGTAGAGGGCTGTGTCTATTTCCACAGTCATTGTTCTCAGTCTCTGGCTTTGAATCTCTTTTAAAACATGTGAATAATTCAGGAAAGTCACAGAGATTGTGAGTTGGTCAAGGCTTGAGCCAGAATATTCTACTGCAAATCTCATGTTCCATCTTCTTCACAGGTACAGCCACACCACTATCAATTGCAGTACAGTGAGTGACTCAAAGTAGACACATAAATCTACTTAGTTATTGAATAAACACACAGTTGGATAATTTCATTCTGTGAAGTTAATTTCCACCTTTACCTCCCTTTAATAGATGCTCTAAAAGGCTATGAGAAAGAGGAGGAGATGCCTTGCTTTACCCACTCCTGGAAAGTGGGAAATTTGCACCAATTTTCACAGCTGATACTTTTACAAAAGGATCACCCTATCCAGCCTCAGTGGCACAAGACTATAATTCCAGATACTCAAAAGCCTAAGCCAGAAAAATCAGAAGTTGAAGACCAGTCTGGGCAGCTTAGCAAAACTCTATGTCAAAATATAAAAAATGATAAAGTGGACATAAAACATACCTCAGTAGATCTTCAGTCCTATCCCCAACATGACCAAAAACATGAAAAACAAGAACAAACAAACAAAATGCACAAAATGCATGACCTCAGAGGTCAAGAAGTCCTTTTCAAGGAAAGTGGGTTTCACAATTCTGTGACAAAGCAAGGACATTTGATTGAGATCCAAGACTTGTTTAGCCCAGACTCAGGTACCCAGAAAGAACCTCGCACAGTCATAGTACATGGACCTGCTGGAATTGGGAAATCAGCATTGGCCAGGCAGGTGAGAAGAGCCTGGCAGCAAGGCTGGCTATACAGGGATCACTTCCAGTATGTCTTCTACATCAACTGTAGAAAGCTGGCTAGGTATAAGATATTGAGTCTGGCTATGCTAATGGCAAAAGATTGGGATAAGTCTGAAGTTCCAATTGGAAAGATTCTGTCTCAGCCAGAGCAGTTGCTCTTCATCTTGGATGGTGTAGATGAGCCAAAATGGGTCTTACAGGATCAGAATGCAGAGCTCTGTTGGCACTGGAGCTATCCACTGCCAGTGTCTGAACTGCTTGGCAGTTTGCTAAGGAAAACTGTACTTCCTGGAGCTTCTTTTCTGATTACAACAAGGACCACAGCAATACAGAAGTTCATTCCTTTTTTGGCACAGCCATATTGGGTGGAAATCCTTGGATTTTCTGAGTCTGGAAAGAAAGAGTATTTCTTCAAATATTTCACGGATGAAAAACAAGCAATTGCAGCCTTTAGGTTGGTGGACTCAAACTCAGCTCTCTGGACACTTTGTCTTGTCCCCTGGGTGTGCTGGTTGGCCTGCACTTGCCTGAAGCAGCAATTGGAACATGGGAATAAATACCCTCTGACCTGTCAGACCACCACAGCCCTCTGCCTGCACTACATTTCCCAAGTCTTTCCAGCTCAGAAACTAAGCTCAGAGCTCAGGGACCTCTGCTTTCTGGCTGCTGAAGGCATCAGGAAAAGAGACACCATGTTCAGTGCAGGTGACCTCAAAAAGCACCAGTTAGATGAAGCCATCATTTTCACATTCTTGAAAATGGGTATTCTTCAAAAGCATAGCTCATTGACATACAGCTTTACTCAGCAATGTTTCCAGGAGTTTTTTGCAGCAGTGTATTTTATCTTGTGGAATGAGGATGAAAGACAAGAACATCTCAATTGCAACAAATATATGGAAGAGTTGCTAAAAAGATATGAAAGCCATGACCTGTTTCAGGCACCAATCTTGCACTTCCTGTTTGGCCTTTTAAGCACTGAGGGGGCTAAGGAAATGGAGCACATCTTCTCCTGCAAATTGCCTTCTCAGTGGAAGTGGCAACTATTTCAGTGGGCCCAAGAAAAGGCCCCAACCCAGCCTCCATACTCTCTGGACTTCTTCCGCTGTTTGTATGAGACTCAGGATGAAGAGCTCCTGAAACCAGCAATGGCTCACTTCCAAGGAACAAGAATGTGTATCCAGACAAACACGGAGCTCCTGGTGTTCACTTTCTGTGTTAAATTCTGTAACCATGTGAAGCAACTTCAGTTAAATGATGGTGGACATCAGCCACAAGCATCATGGTCCCCTGAGGTAGCTAGGTGAGTATACTCAGAAGCCCTGTTTTCTGTTCCTTTCAGTCTCACAAGTCCCTGTGTTCACAGCACAAAAGACTCGAACTTAGCCTAGTGCAAGGGTTCAAGGGTGGAAGTCACTGACCTTCCCATTGGGTCCACCCTCTCCACTGCTCAAGGAACCACTTTTCCCCTGCTTTTCTTTTTTCACATGCCTTACATTGAGAAATGGCTCCCTCAGCTGGTTCAGCACACCTCATTGACAATGACATTGGTCCTGTGATCTTCACCCATCATTTCTGGGAGCATATGTCAGAGACAGAGATAAAGGGAGAGACAGAGACAGAGACAGAGAGTCAGAAACAGAGACAAGAAGAGCCCTATTTTTTCCTACAAAACTTATGTCCTTGCTTGTTTGAAAGAGAAGTTTTTAAAACCACAGTCCCATCTCAGCAGCACTGTAAATGTTTCCATACAGGTTCTCTGCCTATAATGCAGTTGTCATTGTTCACTGTGAATTTGTTTCCTACTTTATGTGACTTTTCCCCATAAATATTCATTAGTACTGATTTTGGACTGGAAATGTGTCTCAGTGGTAGAGAACTTGCTTGGTCCTTGGTTTAGGTCTCAGAACAGAAAAAAATAGAAGCACTGATTCTATGTCAGAGCCTAAAAATCAAAAATTTAAAAAACAAAAACAAATATTTTTTCCTAAAAAGATCAAAGAGTAGAAGAAGACAGCCATTGAATTATGTTAATGGATTAAGGAAAGGAATGATCACATAGGTAGACTGGGAAAAAAAATCCTGAGAGCAAGAAATCTTGGGTTTTTTTTTTTTTTCAGGTCTTCTAGCTTTAAATTTTTAAAGACTTTTTTTACATGATAAGGCCATTTTCACTGTTTAAAGATTAAGAACATATATATAAGCTAAAAGATGAAAATCACCCAGAATTTTATTACTCAGAGATGGCCACTTTTAGGAACTGAGGTATATTCTTCTTGTATTTTCTATGTACTTTTCTATGGGGAAAATTGAGCCACACTATACATTTTATCTGATGATCTGTTTTATTTTCCTAATATATTAAGGTTTTTAATATTAGGAAGGCTGATTCAGCTTAAGGGTGGTGGTACACACCAAAAATCCTAAAATTCAAGAGGGGAGAATAAGGCAGAAGGATTGCAAGTTTGAGAACAGCCTAACCAACTAAGCAATTTAGCAAAACCTTCACTTAAAATAAAACAAAAATAATTAAAAATCTGGGGACATATTGCAGTGTGAAGGTCCTGTGTTCAATTCCCAGCACTGCAAAACAAATTAAAATATAAAAAATTATGGTTCAAACTCAATCACCATATGACATCCTCTAGGAGACAACCATGGCTGATTTGATCATCTCCTTCTTCTTGCCTGTTTTAGCATATTACTAGTTGTTCATGGCTGTGCACCTGATTTTGGCCTGGAAGAGCCTGCAAACTGGCATTGCAAGTAGAAGGGGCCTGATATGGGTCTTCTTGAAGAGTGTTGAGCAGGCATGGAGGCAGAGGTTAGCCTGGGGCAAGAGGATAAAGGGACATATGGCAAAGCAGGAGCATCTGGAATGACAGAGGAAGCTGGAGACTTGGGAGAATGTAGTGGAAATTTATGGGCTTCTGAAGTGGTGAAGGAGATGCAGAGGCACCCAGTCAGCCAGAGAAAGCAGGGAGCACAGTAACAAGGTTTCTATGCACAAGCAAAAAAGTCCAGAAATGAATGGTGAAGGCTGACCAGGACTTTGAAGAAGGAAAGCTATACCAAGCATAGATAATAAGGTACTGAAGAACAAAGGACAACCAGCTTCTAGGTATCTGACTTATATTTCAGTTTCATGCATTTTCAATAATACATTACTAATTTCTTCTTTCAGAAATTACAAGCACACACATGCATCATATAAGTGACTTTTGAATGCCAGGCACTGTGAAGCAGGCTTGTAATTCCAGCTATGAGGAGGATGAGATAGGAGGATGCAAATGTGAGGCCACCCTAGGCCACTTAGAGAGATCTTGTCTTAAGAAAATGAAAAAACTTGAGTATCTAGCTCAATGGTAGAGCATTTCTGTAACTTCCAAGAGGCTATGGGTTCAATCTGTGGTACCATTAAAAAGAAAAGAAAACGTACAAAAAGAATCCTTTGAAAGTTCAATTTTTCTATATGATTTCTTTTTAATTCATTATAGTTCTGTAAAGTTTAAATAATAAATTTTGGCTCTGTGCATCAGTCAACATTGATCATCATCAGTCTTTTCTGAGGGATGTGTATCATTTATGCTTCAGAGTATGGTAAATGTTAAAACTGTACTAGGACTTTGGGACATCCTAACATATAGCCCTCACCAAACCTCTGAGGCAGCATGTACTTTTGCTATTTTGTTCTTACAGCTAAGGATACTGAGTGAGGCATAGGGAAGGGTGCTTTTATGGAGGCAGCTTTCCCAGGGCCTTTGTGTTTACTTTTGCATGATCTTGAATACTCAGGATATATTGGGCCATAATAGGCAAAAGTGCTAGTGGAGTGTCATTGTGGAGATATCTGGCAAGAAACTTGAAATATCACTAAGAAGTTTGGGTAGAGGTTGAATAGTTGAAACTTGGAAGCAGAAGAACTCACTAAATTAATGTGAAGACATAAAGAAATCACATGGGTGAAATCACACAGGGCCAAGTGTACTCTCGCACTCTCACACAAAGCCCATTCACCCTTCTCATTCAGACTACAGATATTCTCTGCAATAACATTCCCTTTTGCCATCTTTCTATTCTTGATAAGGGAATAGAAAAGTGACTGGTGTTAATCCACATGGATAGCATCATGTATGATCAAATCCAACATCCTATCACAAATCCTCAAGCCACCTCTCCTAGGTCCTGTTCACACTTTGTCATTTTCCTTTCTGGATTCTTGGGCTAGAATAGTGTACCAAAGGGATGCAGTTATATCTACCATGACAGAAGAAAGACTTTAAAATGTCCAAGTTCCTTCTCTATGCCTGGCCTTGAGCAAAGTACTTCAGATGAAAAAAAAAAAAAAAAAAAAACAGAAAACCTATCTTCCCTGACCTCAAGAAACTCCCAGATGAGACACAAAAAGATACAGAAAATGTAGATAACCCTATTGTCTTCCAGGGACTATAAAATGAAAAGCCACACAAAAGTGGATGGTTGCATGGCCCAGAGGGGAAGATGCAAAGGCGAGTCTGTCCTGGGGTTAGTACTTCCATGACAGCTTGGTGTTTAGGGGGACAGAGCCCCACTCCATGCTTAGGACTCTACACCATAGACCCTGAACATGAAGGTTACATCTCTCTCCCTCAGGTCCAACTGGCTCCCACTGACAACTGCAAATTGGAAAGCTTTCTTCGCTGTTCTTCAGGACAGTAGAAGTCTCAAGGATCTGGATCTATGTGGAAATCCACTGAGTCTCTGTGATCTGCAGTATCTTTGTGAGACCCTGAGAGATACTCGCTGCTACCTAGAGACCCTATGGTAAGTCTGCCTGGACTCTCCTCTGGAGCAGAGCTGGGAAGGGTGGTTGAAGGCACAAACTGAGTATATGATGAGTGATTGTTCTTTGTATTTATCAAATAAATACACCTGCCTATAACTTTCAAGAAGTAACCCACAGAGGTAAGATCTGTGCCCAAGTCTGCCTGGCCCCAGAACCCTCATCCATGCCCTCCACCATCCCCAGTCAGAAATCCTGAGTCTCTTCCCTGAAGTCTCAGACCAGTCCTCCTCAGCGGAGCTAGGAGAAGGTAGGATTTAAGGAAGGTAGGATTTGCATCCATAGAGCACATCTTGTAATGTGAGTCCTTTGGGATGGATAAAGCCATAAAACTACCAGGTATTTTGTGCTGATGGGACTACTGGTGGAAAGAAAATGCCCAATAGAAACAGACATTTCTATCAGAAAATGAGAGGAGCCTGGTGTATGTAAGTTTTCACTCAAGGAAAATTGCACAGGAGGGTGTGTAGCTATCACCTCTGCTGTGACAGGTGAGAGGTACTGAGCAGAGAGCTGTTCATATAGGTACATCTGCCAGCTGGATCTGTAATTTCTTGAACCATACTCTGAAACTCAGGGTTGGGAGCTGAGAAGAAAAACACAGATGGTTGGAGAAAATGTGCCGAAGGCCTGTTGCACTCTCAATGCCAATGGCTGAGACATGTCTTTGATATAATTGATCTTGGATTCCCAAATGCTTATGGAAGTCCAAATGACACCAAAAAAGAGAACAAAAGCAAACAAACAAACAAACAAACAAACAAAAAAAAACCAGGTGATGAAGGAGGTCTTATGAAAACAGAAAACGTGGACTTTGGATTTTGGATGTGGTGGTAGCAGTGACATTTAAGCCAGATAATCATAACCTCTCCCTCACCTGTAGTCTCAGGCTCCCCACAAACAACTGCTTTGAAGTACTATCCTCTCATCTTCTTCAGAAACCTGCCAGGCCTCCATCTGCAGATGTAGACACAAACTCAGCCTCCTCCTCTGGTCAGACCCACAACCCCTCAAATGCAGCCCATTGTAAACCACACTTCTCCCTTATGAACAACTACATCATCATCATAGCACAGTACAGGGCTGGAGAAATAGCTTGGTGGTCTAAATACCTGCCTGGGAAGCACAAAGATCCAGGTTCAATCTCCAGGACCAGATGCCATGCAGGCTACCAAACTTGGGTGTGGTGACACATGCCTACAATCCAAGCACCAGAGAGGATGAGACAGGAGGATCCTTAGGGATCTAAGCTACATAGTAAGACTTAGTACCAAAAATAAATAAATAAATAATTTTAAAAACAAGGTACACTTGGGATCCCCCAGAACCAGCCATAGCACAAGTCCGGTGAGTGTGTGGGAGAGCTTCTGGCTACCCTGTGCCCGCAGGACCTCTTCAGTTCAAACCCAGGCACACAGCATGAGTGAGACCCTCTTACACACCCTTGAGAACCACCACCACCACACCACAGCCCCCCCCATACCCGCTAAGTGCGTGAGAATTTCCACTGCATTCTCAAGACCCCCAGATCCAGGCCTAGCCTAGGCCTGGCAAGCGTGTGGTAAAGATTCCTCTGCTCCTCTATGCCCCCTTGCCCAATTCAGAGGTAGCTCAGGCCTGACATACATGCCTGGAGTGAAACTCTGCAGCTGCAGTCCCTGCAGAGAGAATAGGGGACAGAACCACCCAGCTAGTCCAGGAGTAGATCATCTTGCCAGAGGGGCACAACAGATTCACTCCCAAAGGCAGCAGCAGGAAAGAGAAGAGCATGACAGGCAGAAATAAGCCAGGCACAACTGGATAAATTCAAACTTTCAAATATGAACCTGAAATTCAGTAGGTGCTAAGCTTATAACTCTACCAAAGCTCTAAAACAAAGATCAGAAGACAGTGCTATTCAAAATACCAATGAGAAGGAGCAAAATGCAATCTCAGACCCCAAGCCCAACCATAACAAGTGCAGAGGACACTAGGACAGAACAAATTGGGAATCACACAGCTGAAATCAATGAATCAATAGCATCTTAAATAGATGAACTCAGATAAGAAATAAAAAAAGAAATCTCTAAATGAATAGCATCTGAAGTAAAGAATCAAATGCAGAAACATATTGAAGAAATGTAATATACCCACCAAGAACAAATGCAAAGAACATTAGCTCAGCTGAAATGTAAGAATTAATAGCATCGGAAGTAAATAAGTGACAGCAGAAAGGTATAGAGGAACTCAGAGCAGAACTAACTTCTGAAATAAAAAGAAATCTCTGAAATCATAGCATCTGAAATAAAGAACAAAATACAGAAACATATGGAGAAAAACCAATATGAAAAAACTCTGCAGTAAAAGAATTGATAACTGTTCTAAAGAAGACATTGATAACAAAAATAGAAGCGAATAGAAAAATGACGGCTTTCTTTAATGAGCAACACAGGAAAGAAATAGATCGCATGAAGCAGAGTCAAAGAGATATAGAGGAACTTAAAATCTCAATCACAAACTTGCAAAACCATATGAGTCGGGAGAGCCTCCTGCTACCCTGCACAGGCAGGACATACTACTGGTCCCAGCCCAGGCGCAGCATGGGCTCAGATCAGGCCTGACATAGAGGCCTGGGGTGTACCCAGCAGCTACAGTCCTTGCAGAGAGTGTAGAGGATAGAACCACCCAGCCAGTCCAGGAGCAGAAAATCATGCCAGAGGGACACAACAAGTTCACCCCCAGGTCAACAACGGTAAGGAGCTGAGCATAGCGGCCAGACCCAAACCAGTCACAGCTGGATAAATCCAAACTTTGTAGATCTGCACCTGAACTTCAGTATGTGCTAAGGTTATAACTACAACGAAGACCTACAAAAAAGGTCAGAAGACAGTGCTACACAAAGTGACGAGAAGGAACAAAATGCACACTCGGAACCCAAGCTCATGCGTAACAAGTGCAGAGGACACTA